TCCTCCATTGAAGCCATTTGAGCCTAGGACTTTTATTTTGTGAGTTTTAAAATTGTGAATTAAATTGAATTAAAAGTCATAGGGCTTTTCTTTATTTACTAGAGGCCCGGTGCACGGATTTGTGCACCGGGCCTCTAGTATGCATATAAGATCTTTGGTTAATCTCTTCCTACCCTTTCCCCTCCCCCCTTCCCTCTGAGATTCATGAGCCTGTTCCATGTTACCATGCCTGTGGTTTCCACTCCTGCGTTGAGTGTCTGCCGCCTGGTGGTCAGGACATGTCATAGCTACTGGTTGGTTGGCCGGTCGGCCGATCGCTTAGGCATATATATATATATATGATTGTTGGATAAGTTGTGGTAGTTTGTGTGGTTTTGAGAAATGAATCCATTCATACATGTTGTCAAACTTTTGTGTGTACAGTTGTTCATAGTATTCCCTTATTAGTTTTTTTTTAAATGATAAGTTATCTAAATTTCTTTTTTTAAAATATATTTTTATTGATTTCAGAGAGGAAGGGAGAGGGAGAGAAAGAGAGAAACATCAGTGATGAGAAAGAATCATTGATTGGCTGCCTCCTGCACGCCCCCCACTGGGGATCGAGCCTACAGCCCAGGCATGTGCCCTTGACCCGAATCGAACCTGGGACTCTTCAGTCCACAAGCCGATGCTCTATCCCAGCCGTGGGCAAACTACGGCCTGCAGGCCGATCCGGCCCGTTTGAAATGAATAAAACTAAAAAAAAAAAGGCCGTACCCTTTTATGTAATGATGTTTACTTTGAATTTATATTAGTTCACACAAACACTCCATCCATGCTTTTGTTCCGGCCCTCCGGTCCAGTTTAAGAACCCATTGTGGCCCTCGAGTCAGAAAGTTTGCCCACCTCTGCTCTATCCACTGAGCCAAACCGGCCAGGGCCCTTGTTAGTTTTTTAAAATTTTTATAATTTAGTTTCTGTAAAGGATTCCTTAGATGTCTATAGCGACTGTAGTAATATAATATCTCTTGTTTTATTCCTTATATTTGTAATTTGTGTTGTTACTCTTTTTTTTTCTTTGTCAGTTTTGCCTAGAGATTTGTCAATTTTACTGTTTTCAAAGAACCATCAGTTTATTTTATTGATTTTTTTTTTTACTTCTGTTTTCAATTTCATTTATTTCTGCTTTTAGCTTTATTATTCTCTTTCTTCTACTGGCTTTGGGTTTATTTTGTTCTTTTTCCAGGTTCTTGGGGGTGGGGGTTAATTATTGATTTGAGACTTTTCCTCTTTTCTAATGTATGCATTCAGTGCTGTAAATTTCTGTCATTGTTGTTTTAGCTGTGTCTACAAATTTTGATATGATGTATTTTTATTTCCATTTATTTCATTATATTTTAAAATTTTCCTTGTGACTTCCTATTTGACTTATGGATTATTTAGTATATTGCTTAGGTTCCAAGTGTTTAGAGATTTTCTTGTTATCTTCTGTTATTTCTAATTTGATTTTGTTGTGGTCAGAGAACATACTTTGCATTTCAGTTCCCTTAAATTTTTTGTTTTTTTTAAAATTTATTTTTAAAATATATCTTAGTGATTTTTCACAGAGAGGAAGGGAGAGGGATAGAGAGTTAGAAACATTGATCAGCTGCCTCCTGCATGCTCCCTACTGGGGATGTGCCCGGAACCAAGGTACGTGCCCTTGACGGGAATCGAATCTGGGACCCTTCAGTCCGCAGGCCGATGCTCTAGCCACTGAGCCAAACCAGTTAGGGCATTGAGGTTTTTTTTTAATAGTCTACACTGTGGTCGGCAAACTCATTAGTCAACAGAGCCAAATATCAACAGTACAACGATTGAAATTTCTTTTGAAAGCCAAATTTTTTAAACTTAAACTATATAAGTAGGTATATTGTTATTAACTTAATTAGGGTACCCCTAAGCTGGCCTTTGCTAAAGACGTCCTCAATCTGATTGAGGTATGTTCGCTGAGGTTGACCCCTTCCACCTCTCCCATTCACACTCGCCTTGTATACATACTGGTTTCATCTGTCTCTTTTCGTTCATCCTCTCTATATGTCCAAACCATCTCAACATACCTTTCTGAATCCTCGACACTACATCTTTCACTCCACAACGTTCCCTAAAATTATCTTAATAAACTTTACTTAAAGTTTTAAGTCTTAGTTAAACTATAGGTACATCGAATACAACTTGATATCATATTTAATAACGATATTATTTATTGATAAAATTAAATTCCTCACAATTTACCTTACAATATCCATGAAATTAAATCATGAGAATGACTGACAAACACTAGTGTGAATAATGGCCTTGCATCTCCTTGGAAAGTTGGGGTAAGTCAGATTTGTATGTTGTTGCCTGCTCGTGGTATTTTGTGGAAGAGCCACACTCAAGGGGCCAAAGAGCCGCATGTGGCTCGCGAGCCGCGGTTTGCCGACCACTGGTCTAACATATGGTCTATATATTTTATGTTCTTTGGGCACTTGAAAAGAATGTATGTTCTCCTGTTATTGGGTGGTGTGTTCTGTAAATGTTGATTAGATCATTGTAAGGGTATTATTGAATTCTATATCCTTACAGATCTTCTGTCTAGTTATTCTATAAATTGTTGAGAGGAGGGTATTGGAGTCTCTTAACTATAATCGTGAATTTATTTTTTTCAATTCTGTCAGTTTTTGCTTCACTTCTTCAGTGGCTTCGTTTGGTGCATACACATTTAGGGTTGCTATATCTTTTTGGTGGACATATTTTTTAATGTACATTTTTAATATAATGTACTTCTGTGATAATTTTCTTTGCTTAAAATTCTACTCTATCTGGTATTAATATATAAGAAATGTAATTTTAATTTAAATAGGCACATGTTGCTGGTGGCTGCCATAATAGTGCAGTTCTGGAAAATGGAGAGAGCTATGACACAATCATTTAATTAAAAGCTAAAATTTGTTGTATTTTAGAAAGTGTTAAGAGAGTGTGAGGTATTATTTTATTTTTATTATTATCTTTTAATCTTGAGAACATGCTAAGAGAGAGTGAGAGAGAGAGAGAGTGAGTGAGAGATTGAGAGAGAGAGAAACATTAATGTGAGAGAAGCATCCATTCATTTACCTTCCGTATGCCCCAAATGGGGTTTGAACCTGCAACCCAAGTATGTGCCCTGACTGCAAATCGAACTGGCACAGGATAACACTCAAGCAACTGAGCCACTCTAGCTGGGCTATGATTTTATTTTGTTTATTTATTATTATTTAAAAAATATCTTTTTATTGATATCACAGAGAGGAGAGGAGAGGGAGAGAGGGATAGAAGCAGCAGTGATGAGAGAGAATCATTGATGGGCCGCTTTCTGCATGCCCCTTACTGGGGATCTAGCTTGCAACCCAGGCATGTGCCCTGACCGGGAATTGAACCATGACCACCTGGTTCATAGGTAGGTTGATACTCAATCACTGAATCACTCTGGCCAGGCTGGACTGTGATTTTAAATTGGGTAATCAAGAAGAAATTACTGAATGTGACACTTGAACAAAGATTTGAAGGTGTGAGAAAGCAATGCAAATACTTTGGGGAAGAGTATATGAAAGGCCAGCAGGGAGGTAGGCCATTGTAAAAAATGTTAGTTTTTACTCTGAATGACATGGAGAACCACTTGAAGATTAGAGCAGACCCTGATTCATTCTGATTTATGTTGTATGAAGATCATTCTCCTGGTAAGTTGAAAATAAACTATAGGAGTCAAGGGTTGGAAGCAGGGAGACCATTTAAGAGACCAAGAGTATAGGTGATGGTAGCCAACTAAATGGTTAGAGTGGATTTTCGGGATAATATCAGACATTTAGTTTTAGATATATTAAGTTTGAAATGTTTATTAGGCAGAGAAAGCAAGTAGACTGCCTGGATTTCTCTAGATATATGAGTCCCTGTCCTTACAGAGCTTACATTTTACTGGAATATGGGTAGTAAATACAATAAGTAAAATAAATAAAATAATATACTATGTTAGAAGATAATTAAGTCTTATAGGGAAGAAGGATTAAGTGGTGTTAGGGGACTGACTTCCTGAGAAGGTAACATTTAAGTAATGATAGGAAGGCAGTGAGGAGATACTACATGTGAGAATAGTAATTCAGATAGAGGAACCAAAATGTAAAGGCTCCCAGTGGGGAGCATGGCTAGTGTGTTTGAAGAAGAGCAATGAGGGGAAGTGTGGCTGGAGTGACATGAGCGATGAAAAAAGGATTAGGGATGACATCATTGAAGTAACAAGTGTCTGGGATATAGGTCATTTTAAGGGCTCTGGCTTTTACCCTGATGGAGATAGGAAGCTAGTGGATAGTTTAGCAGAAGAGAGGCATGATCCTACCCCACGGTTTAATCAAGTCACTCTTGATTGCTGAGCTGCAAGGGTGGAAGCAGTAAGACTGATGAGACTGTTACAGTAATCTAGGCAAGAGACTGTGGTAGCAGTGGAGGTGGTGAGGAATGATCATATTCTGGATACGTTTTAAGGGTTGTACTAACAAAATTGGCTTATTGATTGTATGTGGGATGAGTGGAATCAAGAGCTATTCCAGGATTTTTGACCTGAGCAGTTGGAAGGATAGAGTTGCATTGAGATGGGAAAGTCTGGGAAGAGCAGGTTTGAAGGAGATGATCAGTAGCTTAGTTTTGGATATGTTAAGTTTGTGATCCTAGTAGACCTCCAAATGTGGGCATCCAGTATTGTTTTATGGTTTTTCTTAATAGAAATAATGACATTAAAACAGTGTATTCACTGTTCTGAAAATGTGATATTTGTTAAGATCTTAATTTTTAACATGTTCAACCCTGGGAAAACTTGAATATTTTGTGGAGGGAGAAATTGTTTGACTGCGTTTTGGCTTTGCTCCCAGAGGTGATGGTACTTTCTTAGAGTTAAATAAGATGTTATTCCAGTATTAGAAATGGAAATATAACTATATAGTCTGAGTGTTTCTACTTGCTTTCTATTTTAGGTCCTATTACTGCTGGATTGTGCAAGATATTTAACCCTGTTTTCTTTGAGGTATGACTTAAATATTAAACATCTTACATAATAAAGGGAATATTTTAGTTTTGGAAGTCAGAATGCCAAGGAGAAAGAAAAATCTTGGGGGAAATCCTTTTCGGAAGACTGCAAACGTTAAGGAAGTTGTCGTATCCAGTGTTGCTAGTCATGAGGAGCCAACTACTCTTCCTTCCATGTGTGAAACAAAAGTTGATCAGGAAGAACTCTTCATCAATATCTCAGAGATGTTTTCTGAACTGGATCCTGATGTAGTGTATTTGATGCTTTCTGAATGTGATTTCAAAGGTGAGAAAAAGTTTAGTTTGAACCCTTTGTATCTTATAAGAAGACTTCATGTACTATGCAATGACCGTAGTAATATAAAAAAATGACTGCCTTATTTCTATTTTGTTTATCACTTATTGAGCATCTACTGGGGGAAAGGTTCTAAGTTTGGTATACTGAGGGATGTGAAGAATAAAGCATAGTTTCTGCTTTCAAGAAATGTGCAGTTCTTGATGTAAGATGTATGTATAGATATCATAGTCTATGTTTATTTACTTTTTTACCTCCCTGCTAGACCAGGTTGGCACTATTGACATTTTGGACTGGATAATTCTTTCCTGTGAGTGGCTTTCTTTGCATTGTAGGATATTCAGCAGCATCCCTGGCCTGTACCCACTAGATGCCAGTAACACCTCCTCCCCCATCCCCAGTTGTGACAATTAAAAATGCCTCCATATATTGTCATTGTTCCCTAGGTGTCAGAATCATCCCAATTGAGAATCACTGTCCTAGAATGTAAGCTCCATAAAGACAGATTTTAAAAACTGTTTTGTTTACTGCTGTAACCCTAGCCTCTAAAATAGCAAATGATCATGGTAGGACCTCAGTAAATATTTATTGAGTGAAAAGGTAACTATAATTATGAAAATGCGAGCTGATAAGGGTTGAGCTAGTAGAGTAGTGTAGTTTCAAATCTGGCTTTGGAATCAAGAAACTTGGGTTGGATTTCCAGCTCTGCCACTAAATCTCTATGGGTCTCAGTTTTCTTATCTGTTAATGAGAAAAATAATAGTATGCACCTCATATTACTTATTTGTGTGTGTGTGTGTGTGTGTGTGTGTGTTGGTAAAACCATTAGTATAGTAAGTTATTAATGGCTTGTAATAAATTATTTGTAAGTATGCTTGCTTCAGAGGGGAAAGTCTCCAAGTTGACTGGATGAGTACATTACATGTTGATTCTTAGTATTGCAATTGACCATGATTATTAGAAGAACATTATTCTATATTTGGGAAGTTTTGGTAATGCATGATAAACTTCCATTTTTATTCATTGCAAGGTCTGTGATGTGAGCATATCTATCCTGTTATGATATATATGCAGAAAACCAGTTTTCAGCAGTCCACATGATGCCCAGAAATCCTGGTGTGTAGAATTTTGTAAAAGTGACTTTAATATTTATTTAAATATATATAAATATACTGATTTTGATGTCTTTAAAATTTATTTGTTGCACATAAACTAACATAGCAATGAGGAACTAGAAGAAAAATATATTACCCTCAATCCTAACAAAAACATATTTCTCTTTTCTAGGATCTTTGTTCATAAATACTGATATTTTGAATAGTTTAAATAGTAGCACTGATGAAATTGTATACTATGCTTTTTAAATTTAAACTAACAAAAGCATTTTTTTCAGTGTTGCTGGAATCTAAATTTATTTTGATCAACTTTCTAATAGTCCACTGAGTTGTTGTGCTTTAAGTTATTTAATTATATCTAAGTTTTCCATGAATAATTAATATTTCAGAGACCATCTTGGTACAGATTGCTTTTTCTTTCTTTTGGCTTTTTTCCTTAGTCCCAGAGTTTTATTTCTATGTGATGGGTAAGAACAGTTTTCAACTCTTGTAAACACTGCTGCATTGCCTACCAAGGAGGTGTGCCAGTTTGTAATATCACAAGCACTGTATAATTATATTGATTTCACCACAGCCTTTTCAGAATTGCGTAGTACTATTTTAATAGGAATAAAATTACTTTATTAGTGTTTTTTCTGTTTTTATTTTTTGAAGTAAAGAGGAATGTTGGACATTTTGTATATAAATTGTTCATCAATTCTTGTGTGAATTGTTTATGTGTTTTTGTTTTTTTACCATTGTTTTAATTTTTTTCAACAGTCTGTGTGAGGAACTTTTCATTTGTGTGATCTATATCTTGACCTTTTATTTAATACTGCTTTTCCTTTTATACACATTACATTTTTTTGTTCATCTTTTCTTTTGTGGTTTTTCTATCATGTATATTTTCTTTTATAGAAATACTGCTTGTATTTTCTTTCATTTTTTAAACTTCTTTTTTCTTTGTCTAGGGCTTCTAGCTTTGGTAGTAGTATTGTTGTAATCTCCTAACTGGTCTCTGTGAGGCTTGTCCCCTCCAATCCATCTTTGTTTTTCTTCTTAAGGGAACATTAATTGGGTGCTTTCTAGGTGCCAGTCCTTGTGCACAGCAATTTTTCATGGATTATCTCATTTAATCCTCACAGCAACCCTATGAGGTAGGTACTTTTATTATCCCCATATCCCAAACGAGAAAATCAGGCTCAGGGAAGTTAAGCAACATATTCAGTGTAATAGCCAGCAAGCAGGGATTTAAATGCTGGTGTTCTGACTCCAGACGAGAGCTGTTACCTATCATGCTGTGTTGTTTCCATATTTATCTTCCTTAAAAGAACAAAAGATAAAATCTCAAATTTCAAATGCTTAATTCTAATGGCTCCCTGTTTGTGTTATATCAGAAAGAGCTCATCATTGGAGTCAGATTTACCAGTCATGAGTCTGTCACTTATTTTCTGTGTGACTTGGGCCAAGTTAATGTACTTTTTGAACTTCATTTTCTTTTATCTATTTGCTAAGAATACTATACCTCATAGTTTTATTTGAGGATTCAGTGAGGTGATAAATATAAAACTTCTAGCACAAATGCTATGATAGGTCATTTTCCTTCCAGTTCCTTTAGAAATAAAATTGATATTTCTTACTATGACATACAGGACACCTGAGCTCCCTTTCCAGTTTTATCTCCTTCTCTTATCCACTGTACTATTGTGTGCCCACCAACTTCTCTTAATATCTTACATATGCTTTATGTTTTCAGGCCTGGCTTTGCCTTTCCCTTTTGTATCTGACAAGTTTCTTTTTATTCTTCAAGTCCTAGTTCACATAACACCTTATGTGATATCTTTTCTTATCCTCCTATAAGGCTGCTATGGCATTTATATATTATTCAAAGTGTGCATTATTTAATCTGTAATGTAATTGTCTTCTAATATAATTATCTTTATTTTTTTTTAAAGATGCAGATGTGTAGGTACATTAGTTCTTTTTTTTAAAATATATTTTATTGAATTTCCACAGAGAAGAAGGGAGAGGGATAGAGAGCCAGAAACATCGATGAGAGAGATCAATCAGCTGCCTCATAAATTATTTTTCACTTCCAGTTGACATACAATGTTATATTAATTTCAGGTGTACAGCATAGCAATTAGACATTTACATATGTTACAAGGTGATCACCCCAATAAGTCTAGTACCCATCTGGCATCATACATAATTATTATAATATGATTGACTGTATTCCCTGTGCTGTACTTCATATCCCAGTGACTGTCTTTATAACTGGCAATTTGTTTTTCTTAATCTGAAAAATTCCTTTAAGTGTAGTAAAACAATGTCTTACTCATCTTTGTACAAAGTATGTCTGATATGTAGGTGGTGCCTGCTCTTACATATTTTTTTATTAAGTGAAATTCATAGCATGGATCACATATTCAAATTAGATTTACTAGAAGAATACTTTAAATACTTACTATTTAAAAGGCCATGCAGTAGGTAAGTATTTTTGAGTAGATCAACTGGTTTTAGGATTTTTAGAAATAATCCTAGTACATACAATTACAAATCTTTTTACATTTACTCAGTAAATTCATCAGAGAATATCTACTTGATGGCAGTTTATTAGCCTAATTTGTTATGTTTGTAAGTAACAACATTGCATATCTCCATCTTTCTTTATATTCCATTCAATGCAAAAGTCAGTATAATTATATGGAAGTTTTAATCATTCTATTTTAATATTTTTAATACATATATATATTTTATTGTTATTGTTCTTATTGTTGTGCAGTTGATAATGCCATGGATTGTCTATTAGAATTATCTGCCACTGATACCAAGATAGAAGAATCGTCTTCAAAAAGCATCATTGCTTCTGAGAACCGAGTAAGTGCAGCAGTAAATGAAATAATGGAAAAGTGTGCGCCGGAAGAAGAGAGTGAAGATTCAAAAATGGATTCATTCTTGGACATGCAGTTAACTGAAGACTTGGATTCCTTAATACAGAATGCTTTTGAGAAATTGAACTCTTCTCCTGATGACCAAGGATGCTCATTTTTGCCTTTGCAAGATGTTAATAGTTTTAGTGACCCGAGTGCGTTCATAAATTCAGATTCAAGTGGTATGACTTCCATTCTTTCTACACAAAATATGGATTTGAACAATGAAAATTTAGAGACTTCTACCTCTACTTTAAGTTCAAACCCCTTAACTTCACAGTCAGTTTCAAATGAGCCCGGAAGTTTTATAAAGGATGACACATTGGAAGATTCTCTTCTCAATAGTTCTTTAAATGTAGCAGATGACACTGCGGTGGGTTGTAGCAGTCTCAATCAAAAAGAGAATGATCTTTTAGTGTCTGAGTGTGCTGAGACTCAGTTCTCTCAAGCCCCTGTAGATTTGGATGCCAGTGAACCTCAGGCTCCTTCAAACTGTACTGTGCAAAATCCAGGGCTTGGTTTACTAGGTACAGGTGGGAATCAGAAATCTACTTCTATCCCTGATGTGTTTGTACCTTCAGAAGAGTTCAGTTTCAAGCCACACAAGCATAATGAATTGCCACCAAAGGGGAAGGATGTGAATTACTGTCCAGTGCTTGCCCCTATTCCTCTGTTGCTGCCTCCTCCACCTCCACCAATATGGAATCCAATGATTCCTGCTTTTGACCTCTTTCAAGGAAACCATGGCTTTGTAGCTCCCGTTGTTACGACAGCTGCACACTGGAGACCTGTCAACTATACGTTTCCATCCCCAGTTATTTCTCACCCTTCCCCAACAGTGATATGGAGAAATAAAGAGGGAACAAGTGCTTATCAGGTGCAAGAAACTCCAGTTTCTCAGGTTGTAAGAAAGAAGACATCTTATGTTGGACTAGTTCTTGTTCTTCTCAGAGGACTTCCAGGATCAGGAAAATCTTTTTTGGCAAGGTATGAGGTTTAATTGAATTTTAAGAACTATAGTGCATGAACCTGAAGATTTGTAATTGAGTATGAATATGTGCTTTTGCTTAATAGAAATGTTTTTAACCCCTAAAATGTTTCCTTTCTACTGATTTTTTCTGACTTTGTGGCTAATTCCACTGTTTCACCAGCAGAGAAAAAATAAAGGTAATTCTAAGATTGTGAGTTTGTGAAATCAACAGAGATAGCTTTATGTGAAAGAAAACTAATTTGAATGGGAGAAGGATGAGTTCATCTTTGATTAGAGAGTTAAAGAACAATTGATAAGGAAATCTTAAGTACAAGAATTCTACTTGTAATTGGAAATTTGGGATTGTAGCATTTTGTTAAGTAATGCTTTCAGAAATGTGTGATTTGAAGGAAGAGAGCATAGGATGAGTCACTGATTTAATGACAACAATAATACATTTTAACCCAATATTAAGGATATTGAAGTCAGTTTTGATGTTACATTTTATGAAAGATTGGGTTGAAAGATGGTAACTTAAAAGGTAATGGAACTACCCTGGCCGGGTGGCTCAGTTGGAGTGTCGTCCCCATACACCAAAAAGGTTCGATTCCTGCTCAGGGCACATCCCCAGATTATGGGTTCGATTCCTTGTCAGGGCGGGTGCAGGAGGCACCCTATCAGTGTTTCTTGCTCACACCTGTTTCTCTCACTTTTTCTTTCTCCCTTCCTCTCTCTCTGAAATCAATAACAACATATTCTTCCATGAAGATTTTATCTTTTTTTCTTTTTTATTCTTTTTGTTTTGTTTTGTTTTTTGTCCTCCATGAAGATTTTTAAAAAAAATGGTAATAGAACTATGATACAGATTAGATTTCAGGGGCCTTGGAGCAAAGACAGCTGCAGTTAGAAAATGGAGAGAGAAAGAAGCACTTGTCACAAAGTAGGAACTTACTGATATTCTTTTGCCTTTTAAAAAAGTTTTTATTTATTGATTTTTAGAGAGAGAGAGAAATGTTGATTTGTTGTTCCATTTATTTATGCATTCATTGGTTGATAGTTGTATGTTCCCTAAACTGGGGATCGAACAGCAACCTTGGGATGATGCCCTAACCAACTGAGCTGTGTGGCCAAGGCCTAATATTTTTTTGAATGAGTAGAGAGTAATAACGGGGAAGTTCAGAGACATAGAAGCTGAATTTTCTCAGAATAGTATACAGTATTAAATTAGTGTGCAAACCCAAGGAAATGAGGGGTAAAAAAGGCTTTTGGATTTATTGGAAAGAAGCTCATGAATGGCTATCTTAACAATTTTGTTTCACTGTGAAGGTAGAGGACAAAAGGGTTAAGGAAGCATGGATGATAAAGCAGTTAAGGAAAGGAAAGAAGTTGGTTAATAGTTGAACAGGGTTCTTAAAGTGTGGTGAAAAATTTTAAAGATAGCTGAAATTTGTGCATGTTTAAAGGGAAAGAAGTATTAGAGAAGGGGAAACTTAAGAGATAAAAGGATAAATGTACAGTCTTAGAAGGTGGGGAGATCAAGTGAGCAATCACTAGCATGTAAGTTCCATGAATGCAAGAGTTTTTATCTTTTTTGTTCACTGATATATGCTCAGTGCTTGCAACAGTGCCTGGCACTTAGTAGATGCTAATAAAAATTAAATTCAAAAGACATTTTAGCTTTACATATACTGTACTTACACATATTTTAAAGGAGAGAATAGTGATACTTTCAGTGGATTTTCTTTGTTTAGTTTTTGCATGTATTTCAGTTCTGTAGAAGATAAATTCCAAAATCTGGGAATAGAGATGTCAGAAACCCCTCCCAAATTATTTTAGCTTTGTATAATTTAACAGATTAAATTAGTTATCTATTGTTATATTTTTGGATGTTCTTGGCACACTAAATTTATAGATAATTTAGAAGAAAAATTAATGAAGATCCATTTATCATTTACAGGACTTTGCAAGAGGATAATCCGAGTGGAGTCATTCTTAGTACTGATGATTATTTTTACATAAATGGACAGTACCAGTTTGATGTAAAGTACTTAGGAGAAGCACATGAATGGAACCAGAATCGTGGTAAGATTAGACATCAGAATCCAGAGAATATTAAGAGTAGAAAAAATTCTCTTAGTATTTGTATTTTGAGAGACATCCAACTTTTAAAAAGTTGTTTAACTTTAATTTATAACTAGATATATAACAAATATGTCTAGTTAAAACTGTCACTATTTTTGTGACAGTTGTCTGCTATGCTCTGGTTCCTGTTTCCTAAAATGGAATTTGCATTGTTAATAACCAGTCTTTCCTGGTTTGGTTTAATTTTTATGCAGGATAGCGTAAGAGTAAAAATGGCTATCCTCAAACTGAAACTGCAGGGAGATCATAGGTAAAACTTTCATTTCTTTCTTATTGCAGTGCAACTATCTATTCACTGAAGATGGTTTATCATGAAATGGTTAGTTACATGATAGTTTAAATTTCATATAGGAAATTCATATTAAATAATATAAACAGCCCTGTCGGGTGACTTGGTTGGTTGGAGTGTTGTCCCATACACCAGAAAAGTTGTGGGTTCGATTCCCGATTGGGGCACACACTTAGGTTGTGGGTTCGATCCCTGGTTGGGGTGCATATGGGAGGCAACCGATAGATGTTTCTCTCTCACATTGATGTTTCTCTTTCTCCCTCCCCCTTACTTTCTCTCTAAAATCAATGAAAACATATCCTTGGGTGAAGATTAAAAAAACAACCCACACTGGGGGTCGGGGGAAGAAGACTCACATAAAACACGAGTAGCCCTGACTGGGTAGCTCAGTTGGTTAGCACGTTGTCCCAATATACCAAGGTTGTGGACTTGATTTCCAGTCAGGGCACATACAAGGATCAACAAATGAGTGCTTAATAAGTGGAACAACTGTTTCTCTCTTCCCCACGTCTCT